GTCACCAGTACAAAAGTTTGAGAACCACTGCCTTAAATACATGTTTCTGTTCAGTTTCCGAAAATGAAAGTGAAGATTACCCCATATTAAAGTTTAAATTCTCATCTTCATCTTGTTTCACTCCCACCATACGCATCTTCACTCCTGGGAGGTCTTTGGTACCAGTTTCCACAGTGGCCCAAATATCTTCCCTCATAACTGCTTCTCCACAACTGGGCCTTAATACTGACCATAATCAGGGCAAGGGATGCTGGCTCAGCATCACAGTGCCATGACGATGCACATCTCTCACCTAGGTGTAACTGCTCAACAGCCTAGTCCTCACATGAGACATCCAGATATGAAAATATGCTTCCCAGTACAAGTGGGATTCCTTATTCAGTCTTAGGCAGTAAATCTGGCTAAGCCATTACAAATAGGCAGTGCCACCCGCACTCATGACACACACCTTTTCCCTGCTCCAACACTGAGCCACTGCTTTGCTCCTTAAACCTAGTTCGAGACCACATTTGCCAGTTACTGTATACCCCCCGTAATGTCCACCATCTTTTTCTTTAGCAAAGAGCTGGAATTGTCTCTTACCTGTCCGATAGCCAGTGTTGTTGAGATACACTGCAAAGGTACGTGGTTCATGTGTTGCCTGCCAGGAAGGAGAAGAGCAGTTTTCATTGTTGGTGTATATGTTGTGGTTGTGAACGTATTTCCCTGTCAGCATGGAGGACCGAGATGGGCAGCACATTGGGGTGGTTACAAAGGCATTGATGAAGGTAGCACCTCCATTCTCCATGATCCTTCTAGTCTTATTCATCACCTGCAAGGACCCTGAAATAAAGAATAACTGATTTTACTATACCATTGCTAAGAAGAATCTAAAAATACATTTATATCATGTCACCTGATTTTTAAGTATATAAATGTATAATTACATTTGCCTTCTGTTGTTGGCTTGGAACATTTCATTGGCTAGCTCTAATTTTAAAGGAAAAGTAAACATTTTAGATCATGTCACCAAAAACACTTTGCAAAATTCTAGGAAGTTTGAGCTCTTTTCTTGCTCAGTCACAAAATACAAGTGTAGACTAATCTGATAGGCAGATTCACAAGCCAGCATCCGGTTGAACATTATTGTGCAAAGATAGATGGTGCCATAGAACACATCAACAAAAGATAAGTAAAATAGGTACCATTCTAAGAATTAATAAGCTCTATTTGACATTGAAGACTCTCAATGAAATTCTCTCCTTTAAGGGATAAGAAATTTTAATATTTGCTCCAATTCTAACTAATTTTTAATTTGATTTAGAACTTGATCCTGCAGCCCTTTACTCATGTGAATACTCCTAACTCATGCAAGTTGATTCCCACTGAAGCCTGGGACTTCTCATAAATGGCTATTTGACTTCTCAAAAGGATTAAAAAAATATTGTTTTACTGCAATACATGCAAAACAAATAAACCCTTACAATAATTAGCGGAGCATTAGGCTTCAATAGCTTTTGCAGACACCCAGCCAACAGTGATTTAATTATTCATTTACCAAGTAGCAGGCAAAGCACAGAGTTATTTTTTAAAAATCACACTAAAAAGAGACCACATGCATTGACAATAACCTCACTGGGTGAAATCTGTCCCCATGCAGAGGAGCCACACACAGGCCTCTGCAATACCTCAGTCCTGTGTTCTGAGTCAGTTTAGCATTTGTGGTTGAATCCGCAAAATAATTTTTGATAGCAGTCCCAACCAAACTCGTGTTCATTATGATCACATCATTATGCATAGGTCTAGCCTAAGGACTTGGACATGGTTATCTTAATTTTCTTTTTTTAACCCTTTGAAGCTCAACAAACTCACGTTACAGAAAAAGATGAGGACGGTAGGTAGGATCTTCAGGTGTACAGCAGCCTCTTGCTGTGAAATGGTGAGCCTGGTCACTTGTGCTAGGGTCTGTGAGTACTTGCTGCTAGCTACCAAAGTTTTGCAATGGTCAGTTGTCCAACAAGCCAGGAACTTGGGGGAAAGTGGGGGGGCAGGGATGGCAATAGGCAATAGGCAATAGTCACTGAGCGGTTTTGTACTTTTACAGCTTTGGGGATTTTCAGAAGTGGATTTTAGCTTCTCCTGTTATATTTTAGTTTACTTTGCACAGCTGACAGCACTTTGCTTACTGTCAGTTTTACTGTTCCCCTGTTCTTCTGTATGGGTCTATCACAGAGCAAACCATGAAAAATGGGATTGTAAAGTCACAAAATTGCCAGGAAGGCTCAGGGCCAGGTGTAGTCTCCGGCATTTTGCAAAGCCCGAGCTCGTAAGCTGGAAAAGAACGCCCCCCTGGCTGACACCCTGAGAGCGAAGGGCTATGAGGTGCAGATGGACGCCCTGATTGTCGGAGCCCTGGGTGCCTGGGACTCCTGCAACAAGCGTGTGCTGCGGACCTGCGGGATCGGTCGACGCTACGCACATCTCATGTGGCGCCTCATGGTCTCAGACGCCATCGGATGGTCCAGGGACATCTACATCAAGCACATCACCGGCCACCGACAGTACCAGGAGGCGAGAGCCAGAGTGACATCATTCTCCCACTACGAGAAAGGGACCAAGTGACCTTCTCCGTTGGATTATATGAACTGGAACCATAAACTCCCTAAACATTAAATCTCACCAAATGAGGGTCAATCCATCCTCATCATCATCTCCACTCATTATACTCCACACCCGAACATAGCCACTTTATGAACTTCATACCCTCATATCTCAATGTCTGTACTTTGACCCATCAACCTTTTACCCCCAATCGGGGATATTGCAGATTATGTATTCCTCATGCCATTTTATCTTAAACCAAACTTTGCACCCTCGATAATCTGTATGTTATTCCCTGATAACCAGAAACTTCTATGCTCAAACTCTGTTCACTATTTTTTTTTTACATCATCTTAATAAAATTTTTAAATCTGAAATTATCTTTAATTATTTTTCGGACTGTCGATTAATCACAGTTAATTCACATGATTAACTAAAAAAAGTAATCACATTTAAAAAAATTAATCGAGATTAATCACACTGTTAAACAATAGAACGCCAATTGAAATTTATTAAATATTTTTGGATGTTTTTCTACATTTTCAAATATATTGATTTATATTACAACACAGAATACAAAGTGTACAGTGCTCACTTTATATTGTTATTTTTTATTACAAATATTTGCACTGTAAAAATGATAAAAAAAAAGAACTAGTATTTTTCAATTCACCTCATATAAATACTGTGGTGCAATCTCTTTATTGTGAAAGTGTAATTTACAAATGTAGATTTTTTTTGTTACATAACTACACTCAAAAACAAAACAATGTAAAACTTTAGCACCTACAAGGCCAATCAGTCCTATCTCTTGTTCAGACAATCGCTAAGACAAACAAGTTTGTTTACATTTACGATAGATACTGTTGCCTGCTTCTTATTTACAATGTCACCTGAAAGCGAGAACAGGCATTCGCATGGCACTTATGTAGCCGGTGTTGCAATGTATTTACGTGCCAGATATGCTAAACATTCGGATGCCCCTTCATGCTTCAGCCACAATTCCAGAGGATATGCTTCCATGCTGATAATGCTCACTAAAAAAATAATATGTTAATTAAATTTGTGACTGAACTCCTTGGGGGAGAACTGTAATTCTCCTGTTCTGTTTTACCCACATTCTGCCAAATATTTCATATTATAGCACTCTCGGATGATGACCCCGCACATGTTTGTTTTAAGAACACTTTCACAGCAGATTTGACAAAACGCAAAGAAGGTACCAACGTGAGATTTCTAAAGATAGCTACAGCACTTGACCCAAGGTTTAAGAATCTGAGGTGCCATCCAAAATCTTCAGAAGTCTTAAAAGAGCAACACTCAAATGCGGAAACTACAGAACGTGAAGCACCAAAAAAGAAAATCAACCTTCTGCTGGTAGCATCTGACTCAGATGATGAAAATGAACATTCATCGGTCCACTCTGCTTTGGATCATTATCACACAGAACCCATCATCAGCATGGATGCATGTCCTCAGGAATGGTGCTTGAAGTATTAAGGGACATATGTATCTTTAGCGCAGCATGCACGTAAATATCTTGTGAGAACGGCTACAATAGTGTCATACGAATGCCTGTTCTCACTTTCATATGACACTTTAAACAAGAAGCAGGCAGCATTATCTCCTGCAAATTGTAACCAAACTTGTGTGTCTGAGCGATTACTGAAGTAGGACTGAGTGGACTTGTAAGCTCTCAAGTTTTACATTGTTTTATTTTTGGATGCAGTTTTTTTTTGTACATAATTCTACATTTGCAAGTTCAACTTTAATGATAAAGAGATTGCACTATAGTACTTGTAGTAGGTGAATTGAAAAATACAATTTCTTTTGTTTTTTACAGTGCAAATATTTGTAATAAAAATAAATAAAACGTGAGCACTAGACACTGTTCTGTGTTGTAATTGAAATCAATATATTTTAAAATGTAGAAAATATCTAAAATATTTAAATAAATGGTATTCTATTATTGTTTAACAGTGCAATTAATATTTTTTATCGCGCAATTAATTGTGATTAATTTTTTTGATTGCTTGACAGCCCTAATTATTTTTAAACAATTTAGTAGATTTCAGGTTAACTAGTTACCCCAAACACTGATTTGTTGTTTTTTGTGGGGTTGACATATTAGTTTTAGCAACTGAAATTTGACTTAGTTTTTTGCATCAAATTTCCTTTTTTTTTGTTAAAGTGGGAGACGGAAAATGAGGTATTGGTGTTTTTAACTCTGTGGGAGTAGGGTTGACAACCCTCCCAGATTGGCCAGGAGTCTCCCAGAATAGGCCTCAATCTCCCGGCTACTGAAGCCAATCTGGGAGATTTAAGCTCCTAAAAGTCCAGCGGCCCGTGCAGTGGGGCTAAGGTAGGCTCCCTACCTACCCTGGCCCCGCGCGGCTCCCAGGAAGCAACCGGCATGTCTGGCTCAAAGGCGCAGGAACCGTGGCCATGGGAGCTGCAGGGGTGGTGCCTGCAGGCAGAGGCAGCACGCAAAGCCGCCTGGCCAGGCCGCCCCTGAGCCTAGGAGCCAGTCACTTTCCAGGAGCCGCCCGAGGTAAGTGCCGCCCAGCTGGAGCCGCATCCCTTCCTGTACCCCAACCCCCTGCCCCAGGCCTGAGCCCCCCCCACCTAAACTCCCTCCCAGAATCCGCATCCCATACCCCCTCCTGAACCCCGAACCTGCTGCCCCAGGCTCAAGCCGGAGCCCCCTCTCCCTCCCTGCCCTCCGAACCCCTCGGCCCCAAACCCCAGCCCAGAGTCCGCACTCCCTCCCACACCACAACCTCCGGCCCCAGAAAATGAATGAGGGTGGAGGAGAGTGAGCGACGGAGGGAGGGGGGATGGAGTGATGGGGCAGGGCCTCAGAGAAGGGGCGGGGCAGGGGCATGGCCTTGGGGAAGGGGCAGGGCAGGAGGTGGGGCAATGGTGTTTGGGTTTGTGCGATTAGACAGTTGGCAACCCTATGTGGGAGCCCTTACATCTCTCCTTTGAGTAGTCTGGTCTGCCATAATACTTGTATATGTGACCTTTGAAGATGCACACTTTGCAGGATTCGGCCCATGGTGAGTAGTGTTCATTACCCTTTCACAGATGCTCTTTTCACCCTGCAAACTTGTATAGAAATGTGTATAGGAAAATATTCAACTAAATATAGACAAATAGCAGGGATTTAAAGATACAGAATTTTTTGAAAGTAACTGCTCAGTTCTGCTGCTGCCACAATACATTACTGTCAATGGAAAGGCTCCCTTTCACTTGAATGAGAGTTGGATCTGGCTCTTAGTTATTTTATTTATTCCACCAGGTATGCACTTTACGAAACTGATGCTAATAGATTTACCCCACTGGAAATGAACACTTCAAAGGCAGGTTAGGCTGCCTCCTTTTCACGTGAAAGGGGACTGATGCCCCTTACTAAAACTCAGTGTGTTGTTTGTTTTTTGTTTTTTTTTTTTGTCTAGCTCCCAGTACCAAAAGTAAGGGAAAGTGTCAATGGGAAATCAGGACCCTGACACTCACAGTCCCCAGGAACAATGGGGAGAGGCCAATGCTCCAGGTCAGCCTGATTGACAGGACGGGCGGGCTAATGAGGGAGTCAGGAGGCCGGGGGGTCCCGTCCTCTGTGTGAGCTGGAATTGCCTGGGTCAGACAGAGTGGGGCCGAGCTAAGGAGAGAGCAGGGGCCCAAGCTGTGCTGGGAGCAGAGTCATAGAAGCAGCCCAGAGAGCAGACCTGTGCCGGGAGAAGGGCAGTAGCAACCAGAGCCAGAGGGGCCAGAGAAGCAGCCCAGGCAGCAGGTCAGTGCTGGGAGCAGAGTCACAGAAGCAGCCCGGAGACCAGACCTGTCCTGGGAGCAGAGCTGTAGCAACCAGAGCCAGAGGGGCCAGAGAAGCAGCCCAGGGAGCTGGAGGCAGAGCAGCAGCAGTGCTGGGGCAGAGTGGAGCTGGAGCTGAGACAGAGTGGAGCTGGGGCTGGGGCTGGAGCAGTCTGGAGCTGGGTGCGGTGAGCAGCTGGGGAGAGCGAGGAGGACCCTGGGCAGCGGGCCCAGCGCAGGGAGATGCCCCCAGCCAAGAGGTTTGCAGGCCAGACTTGGAGGGGGATCGTAACCCCTATGGGGCGGGGGCGACGCTGGGAAGAAGGGTCCTGCCACCTAGAGCCTGAGGGCATTTGGCCACCGCTAGAGCAAGTGTCCGACCTGCAGCATCCCTGCAGCACAGCTAGGGCTTGACAAGAAGGCCTGGGACTTGTGAGGAACAGACTGTGATCTTCCCTTACATTCCAGAGACGCTGATTGTGATGTCCCCGTGCCACAGAGCAGACCCTGTGGAGAGGATCCCACTGATCATTACATACAGTTCAAAGCAAATACAATTTATTAAACAGCAATCAATTTAAAAAAAATAAAGAAAAAATGGGGAAGGTTAAAGGAAAATACACAACCCCACTCTGTAGTCTTCTGTATTTTCAAGCTCTCAGTGGCCCAGCTTAGAAGATGATATTTCTCATATGTGAAAAATAATACATCTTTGTTCCCCATTCATAAAAGCAGATTAATTTTGATTTCAAGAATAGGTCATTATGTTTATTTTGTGTGTGTGTGTGTGTGTGTGTGTGTGTGTGTGTGTTGGGGGGGGGAATGAAATAAAGCCAAAGTATTTCCCTCTTCCCACTATACAGGTATCAATTTGCACACACTATAACAACAGTTCCCAATCTGTGGGTCACAAGCCCAAATCTGGTACCTACAAAGATGTTTTCCATCAACTGGAAATCCCAATGAGATTTTATGAGTCCCATATCCTTCGTGACATTATACATTGTATAATGTATTGTTGTACTGGGGGTGGAGTGAACCTGTGTGTTACAGCCATTCATTCATTCAGGATAAATATAAAAAGCTATCAAGCACATTTATGGAATAGATAGCTGGACTCCATCCCCCAAAACATAGGCCACATGCAATGCTGCACAGGAATCTGAGCTATCTGGGTGGAGGGGTTTGATTGCAGGCTGAATGCAAATGGAGGGGACTGTTTGAGGGAAATTGTGAGATTGAATTGGCAGAAACACCATGGAGAAAGACAGAGAAGGCAGCGAAGAAGAAGTCCCAGAGACAGCCAGAGAAGCACTCGGGTAGCCTGACTCTGAAAAAAAAAACAGTGAGAGAGTTTGGGTAGAGTGCTGGCTGGAAAGAGGCTTGGAATTGTGAGCAAAGAAACTGTCTCCCGGTGTTTGATTCCTACTGTGTTCGGGGTAACAGGACTTTATGTACATTCCTTGTAAAATACACAAAGTTGCATCAAAGAAACAGCTGACTCCATCAATTTCTCCTAATTGAAATAAGCAATTCACAAGGCCCTGAATATTGGCTAGCTGCATGGGTCACAAGGGGTAACATTATTATACACTATCGTGCACTCTGTGGTACTTCCCAGCTTTCTGCAAATTATGTTCTGGATTTTACTTCACTGTTCTGCATAACTCTAGGACAGAGGGGAGGTGAATTTTACATATTTTGCTTCAATGATTCTACACTCAGAAAGCAAACATCTTCTCTTACAAAGTATGTGATTTGCATAGTTATCCAATATATTGTGCTCAAAATAGAACAGAGAATCATTGATGTTGGAATACTAAAAGAGTTTGTTTCATTCCATAAGTCTTAGACCCTCCTGATGCCATGGCATAAGCAACTCTAAATATTTTAAAGGGTGTGAAACTCAGCTTTGCCCACGTGGGGTCATAAACAGAAAAATGATGACTCATATGTAGAAAATAATGTATCTTTAAACCTTTCAAATAAGCAGAATGATCTACTGTTGAAACTGCAAAAAAATATGACATGTCTTGGGGCCAAATCCTGGTTCACTGTGCAAAGGGTATGTAAATTTCCTGTGTATGGGAAAACTATGCAGGGATTGTGGAGAACAGAACATTCCTTCAATCCAGTGGTAAGGCATATGTACAAGCAGGTTGCGGTGGTTTCATTATGGGCCTGCAACACCAGCCACAGCCCTCTGTGAACCCCTAAGCAAGTTTCTGAGTCAGCAGTTCCAGTATGTGAACAGAGAGATTTACTACATCCTTGCTACTCTCCCAGCATACCTACAATCCCCTCTCCATGGTCTTGTGAAGACAGCTGCCAGGAAGCACTGTTCTGTGTGCACTTTCTTTTCTACATGGCCTCTACAGCCTGGCCCAGTGCCCAGTGGAAATGGGCCCCTGTTTAGCCATAGAAGGAAGGCCAGGGCTTGACCCTTGTACAGAAATTTCCAAAATGTCTGTAACTAAAAGAAACAAATCTACATAACAGCTCTAGAATCTCTTAGACTAATAATGGAGGATTGTGTATAACCACTGGATGGCCATTTATTACGCTGCATGGTTAAATAAACCAGTGATTAGAGAAGACACAAATAAAATAGATTAGACAGACAGCTCTAAGGGCTCAATGGGAAAACTCACTATGCCCAATGACAGGATTAGCCCTAAAATAAGAAATATGAATTTATTATTTGTGGACTAACAGCCCAAAAAGTTGTACAGTCATTATCAAATCATAACAAATACAAAAATGCCCGTAATTAGATAAGCTTAGTGGTTAATATCTTTCTAGAGTATTTACGGGAAAATATGCCAAGAAGATGATCTTCAAGAAGTCCATATAAATATTTTAAACATTTTTCCCCCCCTCAGAAAATTCTGAAAAAATCATTTCCTATATGTTGTCCAAGTTGTGATCAAATATTGCATATACACAGGACAACTAAACTGGCCTCCTTTCCTATACTTCACATGGTATGAAAATAGCTTGACTTTAAACATATTTAAATATTACATATAAATAATATAAGCTTGTGATCTGAAAGTAGGTCAAGTTTGCATGTGTGTGTGTGTGTAATATATCAGATCATATACTATATATGACAAAAAAGAAAATATAGCTTTTTATCTATCTGGTACCATGCAATAGGTAACAATAGCTTCAACTTTTTAAAGGGTTATATAAAAGCAGATTGTCAGAACTAACTTAAATATTATGAATTGAATTGCTTGGTTTTTTTTAACTGTTTTTGGCCCTATATGTTTTTACATACTGTATTCCTCGCAACCTCCTAGGTTAACATGGCTGATTGTTAGGTACTTATCCCCTAAACTGGAATTAGTTGAGTTAAATCAGATGAGCAATAAAATGTATAATACAATTTTTAACAATATAATTTCCAAATCCGTGAACCATGTCTAATAACATTGCAGAACAGGCACATTTTTGAATATAATTATCATGTATATAGCAGAAGTTACTGAAATACATGTGTAAAGGAAACTGAGTAGCAAATAACATAATTATGTCTCACCAAGCTCCACATCTTGGTCATCTGTTAGTACGAGAATAATGTTGGGTCTGATATTTTTTCGCTCCTGCTGCACACGTCCTCTGAACCTTGGGGATTTGACAGTAGTACAGAGACTTCTTAGCAAGTCAGTACTGAGCACAGTCAAAAGGAGTGCAAAGCAATAATACTTCATTGTAGTTTCAATATCACAAGCAAAATAATTGTCCCAAAGTGTCTGTTCCTTAGTTTTCAAGATCTGTGGAGAGAAAAAGATTAAAACTGAAATGCTGCCAAAACAGTGAATAAACTTGCAAAAATGTTTGGAGAAAGGCGATATTCAGAAGTTAAAACTAGCAAATACAGAGTAGTGTGACAGCAACTCACATAGATTAATGGTAGCTTTATACTAAGTCATCTTCTGAGAATACACTTGGACATTTTGCAACTTCACTTTTCATTTTACTTTTGCTCCAAGTTAGTCTATGGACTGCATTTTGTATTCATACAACTTCCAATGTACACCTCACACTTCACCCCCCATTCTTCTTCTTTTTTTTTTTTTAAAACAGCACAGTGTTCCTTAAATGCAGTACCTGGGTATAGTAATGAATTGCTATGATGCACAGCTGTTCAGAACATCTGTAGGAGGAGCCCTAAAAGAAGGAAAAAGCAGAAGACATGTTAGTCAAAGACCTCTCAACTTATTGTGCTCTGAACTAACTCTGGAATTGCACATCAGAGCTTTTCTTTCATGCACTAAACAAAAAAAAATATAAGAAATCTACATTCACCATTGCTTACATAATAGCATATCTTCCTTGTTGGTTAGACTGCACCTTTGTGTTTAGAGGAAAGTGAAATATATAATCTTGTCATTGACATATGTCTTTGTACAACATTTATAATCACTTGTGAAACTCTCAGAATAAGAAGTGTTAATTTCAGCTGGATGGCACCTGGAAAGCAATAGAATTATTTTAGATTAACTCACCTGCATGAGATATTAAACACTCATGAAGCAGACAGAACAGCATGGCTGTCATTTGTAATCTGCATTGTATCACTACACTGAAAAGTCATCTTTCTACTGACAGAGATCTCATATTAAGTGACGTCCGGACAATCTTACCCAGCATTGTGAAAGCACATAACTGTCTCTCATCAATCAACGATGGAACTGAGTGCATCATCTATAATGCACAGTACCTCCTGCAAACCCTTCTCCTCAATACTCCCTTTTCAGATTCAGCTCAGTATGCCTCTCAGAACCCGCCTCTCGGTGCTTGTCAGTCAAACAGCCTTGCTATTGTAAGACTTGATGCAAGCACAGAAGTTTTGCTTTGCTGCAGCAGATCTAAACCTGCAATTGAAAATGATTGATTGGTCTTGGGACTAAAGGTTAGCCACTTACACTTCAACATTTTTTGCATGACTGACTGAAGCCCTGTGAAAACATCACATTACACAATATGGGAAAAAAGCTTGGAGTAATGCCATCTCACTTTAGGGCATTAACTCGCTGAAAGCATTTTTTTTTTAATTTTTATTTTGGGACTACAGATAAACTGCAGAAGCCTCATAATTTTTTTTTTTTTTTTTTAAAACAAGTCACATGGGAAAGTCTGCATGGGAATTGGCCTGCACCAGCCTTAATTAGAATGGAGCACTATTCCTCAGAAGGTCAGCACTCTCACACCTGAGACTTCATATTTAAACATGCAGCATTAACTAGAAGCAGACAAACACCTAATTTAATGGGAGCAATCCATAACAAGAGAAAAAGGGGCCCATCACTCATCTAAAAATACAACAAAAGGTGATATACATCTTGTGTGGGAGAACTTGACACAGACTGCTAGAAAAAGGATACTGTGCTTGTTTTCACACACACCTATTATTTTAAGCTTCACAAGATACCCGATAAACAGTTTCATACTGCTCACTCTGCAGGCTGTAATGACACCAGAGGAGTGTGAATGTCTTTCAAACAAAAATCCAAGTGTCTGTTGCAGAGTAATCCTGTCTTCCATTGTCTGTTCACCAACAAACATTCTGCTCTATGATTGACGTTAGGGCACTGCAAACCCAAAGCGCAGGGATCGGCATTTAGTGTTAAATACCATTTCAGTGATTACACGACACTCAGATAAGTAGACTGAAAGTCTGTAATTAGGCTGGAGTGACATTTAAAAATACTTCAGTTTCCACATATTTGTTCCAACTCACAGAAAAGCTGACAAGGAACAGGATGACTGGAGAAATAAGCATTTTTCTGACAGACACCACAGGCTTTTGATGCAAAAGCAAAAATATAGTTTCCCTAACTGTCTGATCATTAAATAGCAAAACTTTGACTCACCTCACAAAGCCCGAAAAGATGTGTGAAGTGAGAGTCAATGTTTAGTTTCTTATATCAGTTGTACTGTACAGCAAACTTTTTCAGACAATGTTGACCCAGAAAGTGCAGTCATCCAGACTGCACTGAGCAAACACTGGCACCAACATGTTTGAATAATCCCCCGCAGTATGAACTGCGAGTTCCTGACAATTACACCTCAGTGCTAATAAAATTTAGAACAGTCCAAACCAACATTACCAGCTATTCTTCAGCTTGTTTGGGCTCCACTAGTCAGTCAGTGAGGTAAAAAAAAATCCTTTAGCCTTAATTTTATATTTTATTAACCAAACATCCTTGTTAGACAATTCTTTTCTAGAAATAAAAGTATGACGTTACTTTCCAACTATTTAATTTCTTTTTCTCTTGATAAGGGAGGACAAATAACTGAATTGATCTAAAACTTAAAAAAAAATTAGCTTAATTTTATTTTTAAGTGACTCTTGCGCAAAAGCACAGAAATACAATAGTTGATCACTCAGAGCTCTGAATAACGGGTATGCCCTCCCCCCCCCCCCCTTTTTTTTTTTTTTTGCACAGACAATTCTTTATTCAAAAGTGACCTTTAAAACCTTCCATCCTCTCACAGGCTGGTTTCCAGCTCCAGAAGGCAATGAAGTACAGAAGAAAACAGACAAAATGCAGAGCTTGATAGAGGAGACAAGGATTCAATGTTTGTGTTGGATACTCTTTCAGAGCCTACAAGTGTCCTTAGAGACATAGCAGTTTGTCTTGAAAAAGTCAAAAATAGGAGAGATTTTTAAGAGAGATCTTTTTTCCTTACACATGGCAAGTAAACTTAAAGCATTGTGCAATATCCAAAAGTCAAAACCCGACTACAAGTTCCCTTTCTCCAGACAGGTAAATGAGAACATTGATTGTAACTTAGATACATGCTATATGGAAAGTTTAAATATTTTTATCAGCAGAACATACATAATGACAACTGAAATCTCAGGAAAATGGAAAACAAGAGCAAAAGAAAATTCAAAAAGACCATCTTTCCTCATTTGGGTGTAATTTTTAGTTCACAGTCACACTTTTTTTTTTTTCATTTGAACATTAGGTCTTAGCTTGAGTTCACCCTTCTGGTGTGACAAAAATGAAAACTTAGCACTTCTGCTGGCATCCATATTGGTATTCTCAGAAGACAGGCTATGACTGACGGACATGGAGAATGAACTGCTCCTCATGCAACCCTTGAGATAATTCCTCCAGGGGAGGCTTAAACTACATCAGTGTAGCAGCGGGAGGAGACTTGCATTGCCACGGTTTGTGCTATGGGTAAAGAAGGCTTCCCTCTCCAGGGCTGTCAGTAGGACAGCTTCACTGGAAGGGATGAAGGGAGGAAAGGATAATGACTTTACAAGCAATTCTCACATTTCACATTTTGGCCAAAATTGTCAGGAGCGACTAGTGATTTTGGTGTCCCCACTTTTTAGTGCCTGACTCAATATACCATAGGGGAGGGCTGATTTTCAGAAAGAGCTGAGCACTTTCCCTCTGAAAATTGGACTCCTTTACAATGTCTCAAGTTGGGCACCCAAAAACTGAGGAACCATATATCACTAGTCAATTTCATAGCCTTTATCAATACCTGTACTATCCTGGAAATGTTTTGGCTTTTTGATTTCTAACACATTTCTTTATAGTACCCCCTTGCGAACAGTATGAATAGAACTCTGGCTAGAATTCTCTAGGTTTAAATGCCACTTTTCATACACTTTGTATAATATCAATTACCCACTAAATATTCCTAAATTTCTTTCTTCATTGTATACTTTAGAGGCTTAATGGCAACTCTGCAACCAGAGTCCTGGAGACGAGACCTCCAAACATCATGAGTCCCCAACCTGCCTTTTTCCAGCAGAGGGAACCTGGCTTACTTGTATGGATCACTCATATGTCCCTAAATCTAAAGTCAGGCTTGAAGATAGTGAGCTAAGAAGCTGTGTGAGTGCCGCTGTGTATGATCATGTCACCCTACAGTGGCTTTTCCACAGACATGATAACGGAGCAACTTCTACCAACTAAGGGGGGAATTTCCCGTATCACTGGTGGTATGTCCTGTGATTTTGGAGCATTAGAACAAGGATTGCAGTCCTGGCTCTTCAGGTATGTGTGCTCTTTCTAATAACTGTCTGTTGGCTGCAGCGTGTAAGTTAGTTACAATAGGAATCCTAATGCAAGAGGCTTCTGCCCTCTTTATGTACTGGATGGTTTTGTGATTAAGAGTTCTATTCCCATCTTTGCCACAAAATCCCATTGGACAAATCAGTCTCTCCGTATTTTAATTTCCCTGTCTGCAAAAGTGGGTTAATTAAATATTTACCGTAAATGCATGTTGTGAACCTTAATTAACATTTCTAAGGTGCTTTGATACCCCATGATGGAAGGTACTATGAAAAAGCAAAGCAAGTTTTATTATTAGTAGTAAGGATACTAAGGATTCCAATATTAAAGAAAATATAATAACCACCCATGGCATAACCGTGATGGCCTCACCATAGCCTATATTACAGGCTGCTTTATCTCCACTACAAGATAGGCCACCCTTAATGAATGGAGAGGAGGAGAAAACCAAAACACAATCCCATAAGAATTAGCCTCATAGGACGCTCCAGATGAAAACAAACCAACACCACTCACTATGAGAAAACAGTCCTTCTTGACCACAAGTATGGTGATCAGTATAACTCTCTGGATGTTAGTGAGGATCAGCTAACTCAACAGTAGCTAAGTTTAACAACCTTGAAAGGAATTTGACCCCCAAGCCCCAGCTTTCCCAGTTTCAATAATACCAGAGCCTTCCTGACAGAAAAGAAGAAGAAAGAGGGCAAGAAGAGAAATCTGGCTGTTTATGAGGAAGCAGGTATGGGGATGCTAACAGTATTTTATAACTGCCTGCAGGGGCCACTCAAATTGGCTGGTGGGGCTTCCAATCTGCCAGGCCCTGAATGACAAGTCTCACACCAAAATCTGACAGACCTGGATGTATGGAAAAGAGAACATCCCCACTAGCACCAATGTGGTGGTGGCTTGGCCAACCAGTCTCCCAGTGGAGGCCAGACTCCATGCTTCCCACCTATCACTTTCAGTCATTTGCTTTAAAGACAATGGAAAAACCCAACAGTGAAATATTTGTACTGACTAATTCTGTAGTACTTAGTTATGCACAGTACTAATTTAAGTCAATGCAGAGAAGCTCCAGCATGGGGTAGAAGAGGTCTAATTCATCCCTCGACAGACACACACAGCTTCTATTAATCTTTAACGTGAACATCAACGGGAGATGAGACTCCTTAGTCTTAGCATTTAACACAATTTGATTTATAACAGGTACATTGTTAAGGACTTTGCCTGGATCATTAAATTGTTAATCATACAAGTATAAAATTATATAACAAAAGGTCATGTGAGGCTATATGTTAAATTTGCATCAAACCAACATGGTAGTTTAGAAGACTTTACTCTTTTCAAAACATGTTGCCTTGATGGGCTGTAAGATTGTACAGCAGTAATAAAAATAAGAAGTCTGCATTCCAGTGTTATATTCAAATACTTCAGTTAAAAAATGCTGACAGAGATTACTATTATGAGTTAAGTAGTGTTAATAC